AGAGGGAGAGGGAGACACGGGCATGAGGGCGAGGGCGGGAGACCAGATAGACAGATCGACGACAGAAAGAGAGAGAGAGGGTAGAGAGGATGAACAGACCAGCAGTACAAGGGAGAAAGAGAAAGACAGAAGAGAAACCGACAAACAAAGAGGTAGAGTGAGAGAGCGAGAGATAGGAAGCTGTGTGTGTGCGGGCATTCCCCTGTGCGGAGAGGTGGCCAGGTCCTGCTCGAAGATGGTGTGGCTTCGGCCCGAGGGGCAGGACACGCTGCCGGCGTCACGACACGGCAGCTCATGCCGACATCGAGTTCTGCTTCTTCACTGCCATGACATTATGCGTGAGTGAGTGAGCGCTGAAGTCTGGCAAAAATCCCAGCAAAATATATAACCTGGGCCCAATCTCAAGCATCTTGAGATCGGCACACTACAATAATGCATTATTCGAAAGACTTTATATTTACTGCTTCTTCCCCCTCCCTTACATCGACCAATTCCTCCTCCTCTTCCTCCTCCTCCTCCTCCTCCTCCTCCTCCTCCTCCTCCACTGGCCTGCTACCACACCCACCTACCCGCTATCCTTCCTTCACCACCACCACTTCCTCCTCCTCCTCTGAACTGTTACCAGATCTACGTATCCCCTCCTCCTCCTCTCCCTCCTCCACCCTCCTCCTCCCCCTTCTCCCTCACCGTACTCACCAGGATCATGCCGAGCACGTCCCTGCAGTCGTAGTAGTACTTGTGCAGGCGGTAGCTGGCGTCGAGCATCTGCGTGCGTGTTTCGATCAGCTCCAGCAGGTCTCCCCACGCCTCGTTCAGCTGGTCCTTCCACTGCGCGATCTGCGCGGCGTCGGCGTGGCCGGCGTTCATCAGCGCGTCGGCGATCTCGTTGCCGGCGTTCACGCGCTCCGTGCCGATGCCCTCCGTCTCGCGAGCGAACTCGCGGAAGCGGTCCTGCAGCATCTGTGTGTGTGCGTGAGAAGAAGAACGGGTTAGTGTGGGAAGGGGGTCATGCGTGTGTAAAAAGAACGTGTGAGATGGTATAGAGGGTTGGTAATTTGATGTATCCGCGTGGTCGTGTCCTGTGCTAGGTGCAGGCATGCATGCACGCACGCACATACGAGCATGTAACAATGCAGCACACTTACGCAGATGTGCTCAAATTCGTGTCCGAACTCCACACCCACATGACACACGCACGCACGCACGCACAACCCCACTGTACTACACTTACACAGACGTGCTCGAAGTCGTGACCGAGCTCGGGCGACTTGGCGACGACCTCGCGCTCTGCGATCCACTGCAGCAGGTCGTCGACCTCGCGGTTGAGCATGTACAGCTTGAGGGCTTCGTCCAGGTTTCCGCGCCGCTCCTGCGCGAGGTCCTTCAGTCCCGCGTACAGCTTGTCGATCTGCGCCTGCCGCACCGCGATCTGCTCCCTGCAACGATGCAACGGACGAACGTGTGACGATGATTACTCGGATGTTGAAATGGGATTTTAGATTGTCTTAGCTTTTTTTGGTAAAGATATGCAAGGAGGACAGGTAAGGGAGGACTGATAAGGTCATGTAAGGACAGGTAAGGATAGGACAGGTAGGGGGATGTAAGGACAGGTAAGGATAGGACAGGTAGGGGGATGCAGCACGCACCGTGGTGAGTCTCTCGAGTGCAGTGAAGCGGTCCTCCTGTGCGGCAGCGGACTTCTCGTATGCCTCGTGCTTCTTCAGCAGTAGCTCCACGTCGTCCAGCGTTCGCTGCGCGAAACAATGCCACACATTCACGTACACGTGTACACTACCCCACCCTGGCTAAGCACAGCATAGTCACGCACGCACTCATTATAATTATTATTCTTATTATTAGCAGTAGCAGGAGCAGCAGCAGCAGCAGCAGCAGTAGTAAGTATTCATTATTATTATTGTCACGTAGACCCGTTGTAATATTTACTACACCTTATTATTATCAGCACCATTATTATTATTGTTGTTGATATCGTTGTTATTGTCATCGACTTGTTTTAATCTTTGCACGACAGAGACGATAATATGCTGTCTATCTACTCACCCCGAGTTCGTCTCCAATGAGATATGGCTCCTGGGCGAACAGCCACGCCTCTGCCACGGCTGCGTCGCGAGCAAACTGATACACCTCCAACACTGCAACGAAGAACACAACCCTGTAGCAGCTGCCAGCACTGCACACACACGCACACATGCACGCACGCACGCACGCACGCACGCACGCATGCCGCACACATGCACGCACGCACGCACATCATTCACTATACCCCGCCCCACCACAATATCACATCGATCACCCTGAGTCACAGCCTGCCCTGCTTTCCCCAACAGTAAAAATGTCTACACCCCAACGACGAAACCGACCAACTAGTGAGCTAGCACGCAGGCCGGCAGCAGCGGTGACGACGACCCGGCAGCCTCACCTAGCTGCAGGTGCTCCCAGCGATGCTCCCACTGCTCCATCATCACCGATCTCTGGTTGGTCAGCCCCAGCAGCTTCGCCTTGATCTGCATGCGAAACCAATGAAAGCGTCAATGACATTGTAGCTCACCACAAAAAAGGACACAAATGAGTGAGTGAGAAGAAGTCAGTTTTAATTGAGCAACCATCAACGTACATTATAGAAACGAAGAGTATATATGGGAGAACTCCCATTATATACTCTTGATAATTATATGTGTGATTTTTTATGTGAAAATAATAAATAATATTATATATAAATTATAAATAATTTATAAACAAAAATTAATCACAATTTGTGACGGTAGATGGCGCTATACCCGCTTTGATGTTTTTTAGTATAATAATAATATAATTATAATAGTATAAATCATAATATGTTCATAGCAGGAATTTTGCATTAAATATATGTCAATGAAATCTTGTAAAACGAACCAGACGAGTGTGACACCACAGACTGTTTGTTATCTGC